CACATCCTAGCTAAATCCCTCGAATCAAGGTCAAATAGATCGGTTTCCAGAGTTGGAAGTCTCAAGTAAGCTATTTTCTGTATGTAACTTTTATAAGAGAATCAACATTTATTCACCATCTAAACATGGCATGAAGAACCCCATATCCTATTGCTAGTCAAGAATTTATATAAATGAAAGCCTTTCATGAAAGAGCACGCATACAGAATTGGAAAACTATGGCCATCCCTATGGCCATCCTTTCCTATAGGATAGTTAGTTTGAGAGTAAAATATCATTACTTTGATGTTAAGATCTAGAGGTAAATTGAAATAACATGTCAAGTCATTATGCTATATGCACTTAGCCTACAGATGCCTAACCAGTAAGATCTACAAACAATTTAAAATAATAAAGGAAGCTAAGTACCATCTCCCTCTCTTTTCTGAAGTTCTACACATCTCCAAATCTTATAATTATTGGAGAAAACTACTACTGGGATTTGGGCAATTTAAATTGTGGATCCCTTGAAACTCTATTCAGCTATTAAATAAAAGTACTAAGGGCCCGTTTACTTTGGACTTAATGAGCTGAATGAAAACAGTGACTTAATCATTCAGTTATATACTTGTGTTTATTTAGGACTTAATGTAATGTAGGACTTATTCGCTCAGTCAAATTACGTCTTATTCATTCAGCTTCATTTTAACACTCCTTACCGTTCAGACGCGCCTGCCTTTGCGGAATGCCTTCTTTAACCCTATCATCTTCTTCGAAATATTTCATCGCACACAACAACAAAGACGAACCTGCGGAAATCGTCTACCTGAGCTGTTGAGCATCTTGCGAGCTTTCACCATACCAACGAAGAACAACCTCAAAGCCTAACTTTTTCATCTCGGTATTTTCTCTAATCTTTATCTTTTGTTCTATTTTTTCTCCTTCTTCTCGATCTGGTCAGTTCCTAATTTCTATAGATGGATAAAATTTCAGAAATTCAACTTAATTTAGAGAATTCATAATCTTAAACCTCATGCCAAACTCATATTCTTCAACTTAATTTCTAATTTTTTATAGATTGGTAAAATTTCACCATTTAATTGAAATCATCCACATAGCCGCCTATGTGTTCGCTGAAAGTGTTTGAAGAACACTTTCTTTTATATTAACATGTATGTATATATGTATCTATTCAAAAGTAAATATTTTGATTTATTCTTGGGATGTTTATACATCATTGTTGGGATTTTATTATTGTTGTTGGTATATATGGTGAATTTTTATCTTTCGAACACTTATTAGGAACATTAGTAGATCTACAGGACCAAGTTTTATTATTTCTTTTTCTCCCTTTATGTTAAGTTTGATTGTTGATTCATTTTTTTTATTGTTTTTTCCCAATTTGAGGCATATTTTATCTTTAGTTAATGCAAGTGATTACAGATATCTTGTGATCATAGTTTTATTTGACCTCATTAGTCATTATGTGGAAGTAGATAGCTCTATGGTTGATGCAAGTGATTGCCGATTTTATCTTTGGTTGATGCCTTTGTGAAGCCAAAGTTTAGATGACTTGAAAATTGAAATATCAAATATCAAATTTTCTTACTTGGTCTCAAACAACTAGTTGACTCATTGTTTGGCAGTTTGTGAGTTTGTGAGAAATAAAAAAAATGTTTTAAGGCATATACATAAATGTTAACTGGTAGAGTATGTAATAGAAAATCCACTGAATTTGGGCATTTGGGCAAAAATGGTCTGCATTTGGGCAATTTCCACTTCAAAATTGAGATATTTACAAAATAAAGTGATCAATCATACTACGTATATTGTGAACTTTCTGAATTTTACCTTTCAATTCAATTTTTACAAGACTACACATCTTTTAGAAGTTGATTAGTGACTCAAATACTTAGCTAAGGTAATTGATGCTTCACAGAGTTACAAGGATAATTCTACTTGACACGCCAAGCTTTAGCACCTGACAGCTTGAATGAAACGTATGTTCAATAAATGTAGTCGTTTGAGAAAACTGAGTTGAAATTTTAAAAAAGGAAGATAAATGCAAGGATTGACATATTCACCGAGGCGCACAATCATTTGGCTACCACCGTACACTTCCAATGAATTCCTCTTAGCGCGGCTCCCCGCTAGATCTAAAATCAACCTCACTGGAAAATCAACCCTTCCCAGGACCTTGAAGGCGGTGCGCGGTGGCAATTGAAACTACTCAACCTTGAGCTTCTCGTCGCCGATGATGGCTTTGAGTCAGGCCCGTGTTGGAATTCGGCCAAGTGGCTTGGATAACGCGATTTTCATGTCTCCATCGATAGTGAAGAGGATCATGAATGCCTAATTCGCCTTAGAATAATTCATCGTTTGTCACCGTAGAACTTCACCGTTGTCGATTACCAATGGGATGTACCGCGTAGGTATTTAGGATGTGATTATTTTTGAAATAAAATAGTTAGATTGAAAAGATGAAAGAAAGTTTAGGAATGAAAGAAAAACACTAATGTGACATATATAAAGTGCGACACGTACCTAAAACTGGACGATACGGGTAATTTCAACAAATAAATAGGACTACAGTTAAGTGGTTAACTAGGATTTTTTTTACTAAAAGTAAGAAACTAGCTAGATTTTTTACTAAGAAGCTGTTCTCTTCGCCTGATCTGAATGTTTCTGATCTGAATTTTTTAAGTTCTGATCTGATCTGATCTGAATTTTTCTGATCTGATCTGATCTGATCTGAATCTTTCTGATCTGATCTGATCTGATCTGAATCTTTCTGATCTGATCTGAATCTTCCTGATCTGATCTGAATGTTTCTGATCTGGTCTGATCTGATCTGAATGTATCTGATCTGATCTGAATCCTTCTGATCTGATCTGAATCTTTCTGATCTGAACTGATTTGAATATTTCTATGATTATAATTATAATTATAATTATTATAATTGCAATTACAAATATAACTTAAATAAAATTATAATTATAATCGTAACTATAAAAATAATAATAATAATTAAAATTAAATTTAAAATGAAAAAATTTATACATATTACACTAATTATAAATATAGATATAATTATAATTGTAATTATATTTTTAATTATAATTACTTATATAATTATAATTGTAATTATAATTACAATATTTATCTCTATAATTGTAACTATAGTTATCAATATTATTATAATTACTCCGTAAAATAATTACAATAGTAACAATAATAATAATATTAATAATTATAATAAAAATAATAATTATAATCATAAATTATAACTATAATATAATTATAAGTATATTTATAATTAATAATAATTATAATTATATTAACATTAATTATAATATTATAATATAATAATAGTAATATAAATACAATTAATATTATTATAACGATATTAGTATATTAATACTATTATTAAAATAACATAATAATAATAATAATATTATTATTATTATTATTATTATATTATTATAATATTATATTATAATTATAATTATAATCATAATTATAATTATGATTGTAATTATAATTATTATAATTATAATTAATTACAATTATAATTATAATTAATTATAGATACAATTATAATAATTACAATTGTTATACTTATAATTATAAGAATTATAATTGTAAGTATAATTATAATTACATATAATTACAATATAATATTATAATAATATTAATCATATTATTATTATTATTATAATACTGTAATAATAATAATAGTCTTCTTAATAATTGCATTTATATTACTATTATTATATTAAAATATTATAACTATATTAATATCTTATTTTTTTATCATATTATTATTAATATTATTAATAATAATTATATAATAATAATCATAATAGTAATAACAATATTAATATCTTATTTTTTTTATCATGTTTGAACTTTTCTGATCTGATCTGATCTGATCTGAATGTTTCTGATCTGATCTGAATGTTTCTGATCTGGTCTGGTCTGATCTGAATCTTTCTGATCTGATCTGAATCTTTCTGATCTGATCTGATCTGATCTGATCTGAATCTTTCTGATCTGATCTGATCTGATCTGAATTTTTTTGATCTGATCTGATCTGAATTTTTCTGATCTGATCTGATCTGATCTGAATAAAATAAGAATAAGTAATAAGTAATAAGAATAAGACGAACAGAACAGCACCTAAGCCATTTTGTGAGTCTGAGTATCTAACAAGATGGGTAAGGAAATAAGGAGTATTAAGTAATTAAATATATAAAAATATACTATTGTATTAGCTAGCTAGTCTAACGGTCTCAGAGGCCTAAGTTGAGGGGTAATCAGGTAAATAATTATCAATTCAATTACGTAGAAGGTTAGTGAATTTAATATAAAAAATATGTAAATAAATATTAAATTATATAATAATAAGCAATAGATAAAAGGAACAATTTAACCTATCATCCCATGTTTTGAACAATATTTGACTTTGAAGACCATTTTAAAATTATTAATATGTGCACCGCATCAATTGAAAAATTGTGAAGACCATACTTGTAAGCCTATTATAGTGATGACGCAACATATTTGATTGAGATGAGATTGAATTTGCAATCTCTGTGGAACATCAACAATAACACCATTAAACCACAAAGTGCCTAACAAAAGTTTTTGTTAGAGGGAGATTGGAAAAAGTCCGTGAAAAAGCTTCCTCGACATGGATGGATGATTTGCAAATCCTGTTATACGGAATTCTTCATTTCATGCCTTTCAACGTACTTAGATACCCTTTATGGAATTATTGGGGTTAACTTTTATTAAGAATGGGTAGGTTAAGTTCGTCACTATTTGCAAGTACTATATCTACCCCATTTTTACTCCACACATTGTCTAGTCCAAATGAGACTACACTTAAAAGTGTTACCCATTTATGACCACACAATAGAGGAGATAAAAATGAGGTATTCTAAAATGAGGTACTTTTGACATTTTTTAACACTTCTCTTATACTCGTATAGTTCCTTTTCGCAACACATGATACGAGATACGATAAAATTAGAAAATTTTAATCAGGGACTCAGAAGTCAGAGGAAAAACGTAACACATTCTTCTTATTTATATACAGTAAAGCACGAAAAACTCGCTGTAGTGCGTGACTGAAAGTCTAAGAAAACAATACAATCTGGTAATAATAAAACAATCAAATATTAAGAATGAATGGGCGCATAAATGATAAACAGAGACCAATCTACCATCTACACAACTACATGTATGTATACATATATGTATATGTATGTATATATGCATCTACCAATCCAAATGGCACCTCGTCTTCTCAAACTTGGTGGCCGATGCGACGGATTTCAATGGAACAGTGAGATGGCATTCAATTTTGGGCTTCTTCCCTATCTTAACCTTGATCCATCTCCTAAGCTTCAGCCTGATTTTCAATCTCAGCTTCACATCAATTTCGTAGGCCCCTGCGTTCTTCTCGCCGTCGTAGCTCCGCCTATCTCCGGCGTCGATAGAAACAACCTGCGAGCCCGTAAAAGGCTGGATCTTGAAGGCGGTGGTGTTCTTGTGGCCCTGGTAGAACGCCGCCACGTTCTGGTGGGTGGAAAGCCGTTGACCCTTGTAGAACGCCGAGGCTTCGATCGAATCGTAGTAGACGCCGATCCGTTTGTTCGGGTTCCGGACGGACACGTCGACGGCGAGGTTGTAGCGGAGGGTGTTGTTGGCGAGGTCGAACTGGGTGAGGGTGGCGTCGTCGACGTAGAATTTGAGCTGGTTCGGGCGGAGGACGAGCCAGAGCACCACCGCCAACACGCCCAGAATGACGACGGCGGTGCAGATGAGCTGGCAGATGCAATTGTAGATGCAGCTGCAGAGGCAGCTGATGGGGTTGCAGCCTCCGCCGCGGGTGCTGTGGCGGTGGTAGGTGTTCGCTTCCTTCATGGCTCAATTAATAAAGTAAATGGTGTACTCGATGAAATTGGAGCAGAAATAAGCCTCGGTTTTATGGTAATAAATTGCTGGTATTATAAGATGAGTGTGTTGTTTTATGTTTGGGTGTGGATGTGTGTATATATATAGCTTTGTTGAATGGTGGAGTTTGGTGGACCGTGTGAGATCATTTGGTGTGTAATTACGCGGTGGCGTGACTATGGTGATGAGGTTTAATATTTGTTTGTGATGGATTATAATTTTCAACACGAAAAAACGATGTATCCTGGAAAGTTCCATCTTCGTTCCTATTTGGATTTGGGTTGACCATGGATATATATACACCAAGTACCGTGTAATACTCCATAATACGAAGTAATTACATAAAGTCTACGCGAGACGCGGACACCAGGTTTTATGACTTTATCCGGTCTTAATTGTTGACGACTTCACGTTTGCTTTTATAAAGAAAGCATAGGATACATCTAGATGGCCCAATAGTTTTGCGCACAAAGAAGTACAGACTTTGGTCATACTCGATGGACTGGGAAGGGCCTACCCGACCCGCTACCTGATCAGGCCACTACGGTTCAGGCCCGGTTGATCGGGGACCCAGCCCGGTTGAAGAAGCAGGCGAGCTTCGGGCTCCTATTTTGGTGGACCGGCTGGGCATTTAACAGAACAGATACTATGAGAAAAGGAGAAAGTACATCAAAAAAATTATTAGATTTTATAAATGCTTATATAAGTGTATAAAAAATTATGCTTAAAAATAAAATGTTAACATTATACAAAGTATTAAAAACTTAAAAAACCATGAATGACGTCGTATCTTTGAAGTAGTAGTCCTAGACGCCAACTTTTGAAATAAGTCTGAGAGAAATTGGGGAACTCCAAAATTGCAGTGGAGGCCGAACTCGTCATCAAATTCTCATATCAGCAAGGCAACTCTGAAACTACAACTGAGGCCGAACTCATTATGATATGCCCGAGCTAGGCTTTACCTGAGCCGAGCATCAATACACCCGAGTTGAGCTCCCCGCTCTCTAGCTAGGACAAGCAGAGCTAGAGAGGAGCTTGGCACACCGCACAAGTGTGTGTACTGTGTACATAGAAATTTCAACGCTAGAACTCTTGACAGATTGAAAGTTCATGTCATCAAGGAATAACTAACTCTAGGGGTAACACCAACAAGCTTGTTTTAACAAATTTGTTGTACATGTGTGGCTACGCAGACATTCTGTTACAAAAAGGGCAATCATCTATGCACTACAAGTCTACAACCAATCAAGTAATAAGTCATTCAATTTTTAATCACCAGATTGCCTATATATACATGGCATATTTTCATTAGAATAGCTATTTTCAAGTTACAGTCATGATATATCAGAAGTGCCCCTGTCGGAGCTCACAACGCAGTCAAAGAATGACTCTCAATCACCATGAAGTAGATTCTCACTTGAGAGAGTAGGAGACTCAATATATATTCCCACACTGCACACTCCAGTAATCAAGTAACGCATGAATACAACTATGTAATCTGCTAATGCAACATCCACGGGCCGAAGCTGAGCTCACTTCTCGAACCAAGAGCGAGGTCGAACTTAATAAAAGAACTCCAAAACAGCAGGCGAGGCCGAGCATGCCACTAAAGCCAAGGTCGAGATCGGAATTTTTTTCCAACTTGTCTATATGTGCAAGAATAGAATTGAAGCAATAGCGGTTTAACTTACACCAATAATATTTTTACAAGAAACTACAACACCAAAAAAGTTCGATACTTTTAAATAGAAAAAAGAGTTTTTTGCTCTAAGTAGCACTAAAATGTTGTTTAAATTCCCAAATGGTAAGTATATTTCTATTCCCTAAATAGGACTATTGTACCAATTTACCCCACTTCATTTAATTCCATCGTGCAGCACCTTTCCCCTTTTCTAATCGATCGTACCTGCGCATCTCTTTTCTCTTGTGCAACTGTGAGCGCAAGAACAAAGACCACCTACTTCAATGGCAGCGAGCTACTACAAAGGGCGGCGAAGAGCGGCGACGAGCGGCAAGAAGCGACGAGCGGCAGAGAGTGGCGAGTAAGTTCAGATCTGTTCTCATTGTCTTGCTTCTTCTTGGTCTTCCTCAATCCACCTCTCTATTTCTTCTCTCTTACTCCCTCGATGATGGCAAATAATGTTCATCTTCTTCATTTGCTTTGGTTTTTAAAAGAAATGCCAAATTTTATTTTAAAAATGCCATTAAAATGGCATTTTTTTCTCTTCAAAAATGCCATTAAATTGGCATTTTACTCTTCAAAAATGCCATTTTTTCTTTTGAAAATGTCATTAACATGGCATTTTTGATTCATATTGGCATTCAGATTATATTGTTGGCTTCAGTGACGGTTATTGCCAGATTTGCACTCACGGAGGCCGGATCCACAGAGGAGGCGGCCGGATCGAGGGCAACGATTAGATTCAAGGTGGCGGCAGCTAGATCTGTGGCTAGGGGTGGTTCGGTACGGTATACCGAATATTTTATCGCATACCTTTACCATACCGTAAACTTTTGGTATGCAAAAACACATACCGTTACCATACCGAAATTTCGGTATACCTTGTTTCGGTATACCGAAACTTCGGTACGGTAAGGTACGGTATCGGTAAATTACCATGATTTAATATAACAAATTATTATATGTCAAATGAAATAAAAAAAATCAGTGTTAATAGTGATATACTAAAACCATTAATGAAATTAATTACTCCGTATAAAATACTAATGAGATAACCTATTTGTGTTCTATTCAACTTTTGACAAAAAATATTATAAATATGTATAGATATTTCAACACATGATATATGAAGATAACAACACATTCTGCTAAAATAATTTAAACAACATAAATATAACTAAAATAACACCGATCTCCAACAAAAAGTATAAATAATTCAAGAAACATGGATATAAAGTCATTTATCCTTGAATTAGTGTTGTGTTTCTAGTTATTTTTACAATTTTAAGGAAATTATTGACTTGGAATTACGGTATGACGGTATACCGGTATACCGTTTGTTTCCAAAATATATACCGATATCATACCAAAGTAATTCGGTACGGTATCATACCGTACCAAAAGCGTCGGTATACCAAACATTTCGGTAAATTCGGTATTTTTGATATGGTTTTGATCTGTGGCGGTGGTAGACAGATCTATGACAGTGGTGGACAGATCTATGGCGGCAATGGGCAAATCTGAACTGGCGGCAGTCAAATGTCCAGTGGCGGCGAGTTCTGCGGTGGCTCCGGCGGCCGGAGGAGGTCTGGTGTACTGTTTTAACAAGCTTCAGGGTATTATTGTCCAACAGCAAAAAAATAGCTCCTATTTGGGAAAATTTTAAATTTTACTCCTATTTTAACAATTAAAGATGTATTTGGTCCTATTTAGGGAATAACCTCTAGAAAAAATGATGTTAGCGGATACAATGATGTAGTTAAAAATGTACATTATATATAGAAAAAAGTCCTTCAATTTTTTTATTATGACTTTAGAGTGTTAGAGACTTATACATACCTTTAAATATAAAAAGTTCCATATATATAGAAATGCTCTTGTCCAGCCAGATGGACAGCACCCTCCGTCCGGATGCCGCCATTTGGGTTGGTTCCCGGTGGAAGTTTTTTATCAAAAATTTCGAGCATATTATTCAAGAATTGTAGATAATGCACAAAAACTTTCAGCTAAAAATTCAATTCGGAAGTCAGTAAAATAAATTATTGAAACATATTGCGCCAAACTATATACATAAAAGTGCAATGTTTTTCAATATTTTATTTAATTGTCTTCAAGATTGCATTTTAGTTGATTTTTGCTGGACATAATCTACACTCATGCACCGTTTGTCGGGCTGACTCTGAGTTCGGATTGACCCTTGACCCTTGACCCGGTCACTTTTCAGGTTGCCCTCCGGTCCGGTTTTAACATTGTGGCCTTGTGGGAGTAAACACTAAACACTAGACACCTAATTATCAAAGGAAAAAAATAGAGTACCACTGCATTTTAATTTCCTCTGCTTCGCCCACAGCATGAGTCCGGCCATGTATCAATGCAATGTGTCATCGACCCATTGTCACATGGTATGTCCCTTCAATTCTCCGTGTTTTGAAGGAGGGTTGGATTATCCCTTTGACCAGACTCTCTATCCATTCCAAGTTCATAATGCCAATACAAAATGGGAAACACATACTCCCTCCGTCCCTAATAACTTTGCCAAGTTTGACCGGCACGGAGATTAATAAAGTAAAAACTGTGTGGTTGAGGTTTGTGCAGAAGAGAGAGAATTAACTGGAACCACAAATTCTTTACTTAAAAGGGAAAGTGGCAAAGTTAATGGGACATCCAAAAAAGGAAAGTTGGCAAAGTTATAAGGGACGGAGGGAGTATATGTACTACAGTTTTATATTGTTAATAATGCTGTGTAGGATACTAATTCGACAGAATGATGGTTTTGTTTAAGAGTTTTTATCATTTGGTCCCTCGACTATTACGTCATTGACATCTTTGGTACTCGACTTCTAATTTTTTCATTTTTAGTTCTCGACTATTGTGCTAGAGATACTTTTAATCCCCAACTTCAAGGTTTCCCACATTTAGTCCCTTGGGTATTATCAAATTGACACTTTTAGTCCTCTTATTATGATTTTCACACAATAAGTGGGAGATTAAAAATGTCACTATTATAATAGTTGAAGGACCAAAAATGTAACTTTTATGAAAGTTGAGGGACTAAATGTGGAAATTTTCAAAGACGGATACCAAAAGTGTCTCTAGCGCAATTGTTGAGGACTAGAAATGAAAAAAATCAAAGTCGAGTACCAAAAGTGTCAATGATATAATAGTCAGATGATTAAAAGTGGCAAAAAATCTTTATTTAATGTGAATGGAGTAAGATATAGGAGTAAAAAACTAAAGATGTAAAAAGTGGACATAAATTGATTTGTGCATTGAATGTTTGATTTCATGTACTACTCGTACATACTGTTCCGTTTTTTTTTGGGTATTTTGTGTTTGCACCCTGTTTTACATGACAAATTAGACCTTGCACCCTAAATTCAAAAT